GGGGAGCATGGACACTGGGGCCATCCCACAGTTACTAAAAACAACAGACATAGCCCCTCTCCACAAAGGGGGCAGTGAAGCAATAGCAAAAAACTACAGACCAATAGCGCTAACGTCCCATATCATAAAAATCTTTGAAAGGGTTCTAAGGAGTAAGATCACCTCCCATCTAGATACTCATCAATTACACAGCCCAGGGCAGCATGGGTTTAGAGCAGGTGGCTCCTGTCTGTCCTGGATGCACTAGAAGACAGTGCAGATGTAATATACACAGACTTTGCAAAAGCCTTCGACAAGTGTGACCATGGTGTAATAGCACACAAAATGCATGATAAAGGAATAACAGGAAAAGTTGGTAGATGGATATATAATTTCCTGACACAGAACACAAAGGGTAGTAGTCAACAGAGTAAAGTCTGAGGCAGCTACGGTGAAAAGCTCTGTTCCGCAAGGCACAGTACTGGCTCCCACCCACTCCCCATCCTCATATTGAGCATAGACAGGGATATAAGCCACAGCACTGTCTTTCTTTGCAGATGACACCTGAATCTGCATAAGTGTCCTCCATTGATGACACTGCAAGGCTCCAGGCAGACATCAACCAAATCTTTAAATGGGCTGCAGAAAACAACATGAAGTTCAACGATGAGAAATTTCAATTACTCCGATATGGTAAACATGAGGAAATTAAAATTTCATTGGAGTATAAAGCAAATTCCAACCACACAATACAGCGAAAAACTAACATCAAAAACCTGGGAGTGATCATGTCGGAAGATCTGACCTTCACGGACCATAACAGTGTATGAATTGCATCTGCTAGAAAAATGACAGGATGGATATGGAGAGCCTTCAACACTAGGGATACCAAGCCCATGATGACACACTTCAGGTCGCTTGTTTTATCTAGGCTGGAATATTGCTGCACACTAAAAGCACCTGGTTGATCAGGCTCTGATCCACCAGGAGGCCAGGTCACAGACCGGGCCGCGGGGGCGCTGACCCCCGGAACTCTCTCCAGGTAAACTCCAGGCACCTTTCAAGGCAGGTGAAATAGCTGACCTAGAAAATGTACAGAGAACCCTCACGGCACACATAACTGAGATAAAATACCTCAATTACTGGGAATGATTGAAGTTCCTGAACCTGTACGCCCTGGTATGTAGGTGGGAGGGATACATGATTATATACACCTGGAAAATCCTAGAGGGATTAGTACTAAACTTGCACACAAAAATCACTCCCTATGAAAGTAAAAGACTCGGCAGATTATGCAACATCCCCCCAATGAAAAGCAGGGGTGCCACTAGCACATTAAGAGACAACATAACAAGTGTCAGGGTCCCAAGAGTGTTGCTGCCTCTCAGCACACATAAGGGGGATTACCGATAGACCCCTTGCTGTCTTCAAGCAGTCACTGGACAGGCACATAAAATCAGTACCTGACCAACCGGGCTGTGGTTCGTACATTGGATTGTGTGCAGCCAGCAATAATAACCTGGTTGACCAGGCCCTGATCCACCATGAGGCCTGGTCACAGACTGGGCCGCTGGGGACATTGATCCCCGGAACTCTCTCCAGGTAAACTCCAAGTAATAGGCATGACACTGGATGATGTGCATATTATTTAATCTGTTATGATAGTCATAAGCTGCAGGACTACAGTTTTGGGGGTGGACAGTCCCACAAAGAACCCTCCTCAGTCTAATAAGGTATATGTATACCATACCATGTGTTACACATACCAGGACTATATGCTGCTTTCTCCTCACTTCCTCATTGGACAAGGAAAATACTTAGTTCTGATCTTGTGGGTATTTTTTGTCCTGTTGACCACTTACATTCTAATTATGTCAGCTGACCTTTCTTTCAAAGAACACTATAAGACCAAGGTCATGCCTGCCAGGAAGATGACGGGATGGATAATGAGAACTTTCAAAACAAGGGAAATAGTGCCAATAGTGACATTTTTCCAATTGTTTGTACACTCACTTGGAATATTGCTCACTGTTGGCAGCCCTATCCAGGGCAGGAGAAATATCAAAGCTGAAACAGAGATCATTTATGGCCAGCGCAGAGCCAATAAAGCTTTTAGATTACTTATTTGAGCAGTGGTGGCTCATCCGTAGGAACTGCAGAGCTGCAGTCCCCCTAGATGCTCACTGCCAGACATATGACTTCATCAAACTTATGCTAAAATAATTTGCAACTGATATATATATTACAGGAAAAATCTGTTTTATGTTGTTTTCAATGTATTTATAAGCGAATTTTTTTTTTTTAAACAAGATAAAAACGATTAAAAACAGAAGTTTGATGCAGTATGATAGTATAGGTATTACTGGCGCTATGAGCCAGTAATACCTATACTGTATTAAGCCAGGTTAACCAGGCAGCACCAGATGAATCTTGCCCAGGCCCAGCTTTGGGAGTAAAAACTCTTTGAGCTTATTAAAGGTAAAGGTTGAGTGTCATGGTCATGCTTTTATGAATAACAAATTAATTATGGTAAGATAAGATTTTGTTTGGATTTTTAGCCAGAGGGTTAGCCCCCCAGGAAAACCCAAGTAAGAGCATCATAAGGACTCTTATTTCCTTGGGGTCTTTCAGTCTTTTTCCCCCAGGATACAACTCACCATTTGGCTAACACCCAGGTATCTACTTGCTAGGTGATAGGGACAGCATGTGTAAGGAAACGCCCAATGTTTCCACCTGGCCGGGGATTGAACCACAGACACTCAATGTGTGAAGCGTAAACATTGCAAAACCAGGCCATAGGACATCAGTACAATCTTTTTTTATTATTAATGGCTTGTGCTGTATATCTGTATATCTTTTCATGTACCATAGGAGATGTATGGATCTGGAAACAAATTTAATGAGGCAAAACAAATGTTTTTTGTTAAAGATGAGGACAGGCAGCAACTTTTTTAAATTATAGTGGTCCATCGTTTTTCGTAATTAATCCGTTCCTGGAGCCATTACTATAAACGAAATTTACGATTTTTATTTATTATCACACTAGCCGACTCCCACCAAGGCAGGGTGGCCCGAAAAAGAAAAACTTTCACCATCATTCACCCCATCACTGTCTTGCCAGAAGGGTGCTCCACACTACAGTTTTTAAACTGCAACATTAACACCCCTCCTTCAGAGCGCAGGCACCGCATCCCCCATCTCCAGGACTCAAGTCCGGCCTGCCAGTTTCCCTGAACCCCTTCATAAATGTTACTTTGCTCACACTCCAACAGCACGTCAAGTATTAAAAACCATTTGTCTCCATTCACTCCTATCAAACACGCTCACGCATGCCTGCTGGAAGTCCAAGCCCCTCGCACACAAAACCTCCTTTACCCCCTCTCTCCAACCTTTCCTAGGCCGACCCCTACCCGCCTTCCTTCCACTACAGACTGATACACTCTTGAAGTCATTCTGTTTCGCTCCATTCTCTCTACATGTCCGAACCACCTCAAAAACCTTCCTCAGCCCTCTGGACAACAGTTTTGGTAATCCCGCACCTCCTCCTAACTTCCAAACTACGAATTCTCTGCATTATATTCACACCACACATTGCCCTCAGACATGACATCTCCACTGCTTCCAGCCTTCTCCTCGCTGCAACATTCATCACCCATGCTTCACCCCCCTATAAGAGCGTTGGTTAAAACTATACTCTCATACATTCCCTCTTTGCCTCCAAGGACAAAGTTCTTTGTCTCCACAGACTCCTAAGTGCACCACTCACTCTTTTCCCCTTATCAATTCTATGATTCACCTCATCTTTCATAGACCATCCGCTGACACGTCCACTCCCAAATATCTGAATACATTCACCTCCTCCATTTCTCTCTCCCTCCAATCTGATATTCAATCTTTCATCACCTAATCTTTTTGTTATCCTCATAACCTTACTCTTTCCTGTATTCACCTTTAATTTTCTTCTTTTGCACACCCTACCAAATTCATCCACAATCTCTGCAACTTCTCTTCAGAATCTCCCAAGAGCACAGTGTCATCAGCAAAGAGCAGCTGTGACAACTCCCACTTTGTGTGTGATTCTTTATCTTTTAACTCCACGCCTCTTGCCAAGACCCTCGCATTTACTTCTCTTACAACCCCATCTATAAATATATTAAACAACCACGGTGACATCACACATCCTTGTCTAAGGCCTACTTTTACTGGGAAATAATTTCCCTCTTTCTACATACTCAAACGTGAGCCTCACTATCCTCGTAAAAAACTCTTCACTGCTTTCAGTAACCTACCTCCTACACCATACACTTGCAACATCTGCCACATTGCCCCCCTATCCCCCCTGTCATATGCCTTTTCCAAATCCATAAATGCCATGAAGACCTCTTTAGCCTTATCTAAATACTGTTCACTTATATGTTTCACTGTAAACACCTGGTCCACACACCCCTACCTTTCCTAAAGCCTCCTTGTTCATCTGCTATCCTATTCTCCGTCTTACTCTTAATTCTTTCAATAATAACTCTACCATACACTTTACCAGGTATACTCAGCAGACTTATCCCCCTATAATTTTTGCCCTCTTTTATCCCCTTTGCCTTTATACAAAGGAACTATGCATGCTCTCTGCCAATCCCCAGGTACCTTACCCTCTTCCATACATTTATTAAATAATTGCACCAACCACTCCAAAACTATATCCCCACCTGCTTTTAACATTTCTATCTTTATCCATCAATCCCGGCTGCCTTACCCCTTTCATTTTACCTACTGCCTCACGAACTTCCCCCACACTCACAACTGGCTCTTCCTCACTCCTACAAGATGTTATTCCTCCTTGTCCTATACACGAAATCACAGCTTCCCTATCTTCATCAACATTTAACAGTTCCTCAAAATATTCCCTCCATCTTCCCAATACCTCTAACTCTCCATTTAATAACTCTCCTCTCCTATTTTTAACTGACAAATCCATTTGTTCTCTAGGCTTTCTTAACTTGTTAATCTCACTCCAAAACTTTTTCTTATTTTCAACAAAATTTGTTGATAACATCTCACCCACTCTCTCATTTGCTCTCTTTTTACATTGCTTCACCACTCTCTTAACCTCTCTCTTTTTCTCCATATACTCTTCCCTCCTTGCATCACTTCTACTTTGTAAAAACTTCTCATATGCTAACTTTTTCTCCCTTACTACTCTCTTTACATCATCATTCCACCAATCGCTCCTCTTCCCTCCCGCACCCACTTTCCTGTAACCACAAACTTCTGCTGAACACTCTAACACTACATTTTTAACCTACCCCATACCTCTTCGACCCCATTGCCTATGCTCTCATTAGCCCATCTATCCTCCAATAGCTGTTTATATATTTACCCTAACTGCCTCCTCTTTTAGTTTATAAACCTTCACCTCTCTCTTCCCTGATGCTTCTATTCTCCTTGTATCCCATCTACCTTTTACTCTCAGTGTAGCTACAACTAGAAAGTGATCTGATATATCTGTGGCCCCTCTATAAACATGTACATCCTGAAGTCTACTCAACAGTCTTTTATCTACCAATACATAATCCAACAAACTACTGTCATTTCGCCCTACATCATATCTTGTATACTTATTTATCCTCTTTTTCTTAAAATATGTATTACCTATAACTAAACCCCTTTCTATACAAAGTTCAATCAAAGGGCTCCCATTATCATTTACACCTGGCACCCCAAACTTACCTTCCAATCAATTTTCCCCATAAGAAATAATGTAAATACAATTAATCCATTCCTGACACCCAGAAGTATTAAAACAAAAAATTTTTTTACATGAAATACACATGTAGTACATAAACAACACAATGGGAAATGATGAATGAAACATTAACAGCATAACACTTACCTTTATTGGAGATTCTTCTTAGTGTATGGGAGACTGGAGGAGGAGAGAGAGTGGATTGTTTATAGTTTGGAAGGGGAATCCCCTTCCAGCAACACCTCAGGTACCAATTGCTTTTCTGGGGTTGCTTCTCTTCTCTGTTTCTTAATGCCACTAGGACCACCTTGAGAGTCAATGGAGTCCTGTCTCGCAAAATAACTGTGGAGAGAGCTCTGTTTCTGGCGTCTCTTTAACACTTCCCTAAAATGGCCCAAGACTTTGTCACTGGACATGTTGCCAATATGGCTTGCAACAACCTTGTTAGGGTTGCAACACTTCATTGAACCACTCGACGAAAATTTCCCTCGTGACCCATGCCTTACTATTAGATTTCCAAAACACACACAATTTACTCTTCATAACATTGTTTTTCCTGAACACACTGGGATTTTCTGAATGGTACACTAGTAATGGCTTCACTTTGAAATCCCCACTAGCATTAGCACAGAACAGTAGCATCAGCCTGTCTTTCATAGGCTTGTGTCCTGGCATTGCCTTTTCCTCTTGTGTAATGAAGGTCCTCTTTGGCATTTTCTTCCAAAAGAGGCCTGTTTCATCACAATTGAACGCTTGTTCAGGTTTCAGTCCTTCAGCCTCTATGTACTCCTGGAATTCATGCACATATTTTTCAGCCGCCTTGTGGTCCAAACTGGCAGCCTCACCATGCCTTACCACACTGTGTACGCCAGTACGGTTCTTAAATCTCTCAAACCAGCCTTTGCTGGCCTTAAATTCACTCACATCACCACTATTTGCAGGCAATTCTTTACCAAATCTTCATGCAACTGCCTAGCCTTTTCACAAATAATTGAAGTCATAAGAGTATCTCATGCTAATTGTTTCTCATTTATCCACACCAATAATAACTTCTCAACCTCTTCGAGTACTGGTGATCTCATTTTTGTCAGCATAGTTACATCCCTTTGCTTCAACAGTCCTCATGATTTTCTTTTGTTGGCCCACTATGGTGAACATAAGGTTGTGTAGGGTTTCTTATACATCCTGGACAACCTTGTGGTCCAAACTGGCAGCCTCACCATGCCTTACCACACTGTGTACGCCAGTACGGTTCTTAAATCTCTCAAACCAGCCTTTGCTGGCCTTAAATTCACTCACATCACCACTATTTGCAGGCAATTCTTTACCAAATCTTCATGCAACTGCCTAGCCTTTTCACAAATAATCAAAGTCATAAGAGTATCTCATGCTAATTGTTTCTCATTTATCCACACCAATAATAACTTCTCAACCTCTTCGAGTACTGGTGATCTCATTTTTGTCAGCATAGTTACTCCCTTTGCAACAACAGCATCCTTGATTTCTTTTTTCTTGGCCACTGTGGAACATAAGGTTGTGTAGGGTTTCTTATACATCCTGGACAGTTCGGCCACACTTGTACCACTTTCATATTGTTCAATGACGGTTTTCTTAAATTCAATTGTATTTCTCACCTTCTTTACCACAGGCTTGGCACTAGGAGCTTTCTTTGGAGCCATGGTAGCTTATTTAGTACTTGCAAGCACTAAAATAAATGGAATATTATGAAATATTTCACTGGAGCACGTGAGGGGACCTTCGCTCACTGGTAAACAATGCCAGACTGGCTGCCGCCACGGCTCATGCCGTGGGTACGCGTCCGGGACGAATTACGACTCGCGAGTCAACTTATGAAAAGCTAGTCCATGTTTATACGAAAATACAGTGGACCCCCGCATAACGATATTAATCCGTGCGTGAGAGCTCATTGTTATGCGAATTATCGTTATGCGGATGAATTTTCCCCATAAGAAATAATGGAAATCAAATTAATCCGTGCAAGACGCCCCAAAGTATGAAAAAAAAAATTTTACCACATGAAATATTAATTTTTAATACACACAAACTGAAAAAGGCATGCACAATTACATGACACTTACCTTTATTGAAGATCTGGTGATGATTGATGGGATGGGAGGAGGAGAGAGTCTTAATGTTTAGAAGGGGAATCCCCTTCCATTAAGACTTGAGGTGTCAAGTCCTTTTCTGGGGTTACTTCCCTTCTTCTTTAATGCCACTAGGACCAGCTTCAGAGTCACTGGACTTCTGTCGCACAACATATCTGTCCATAGTGGCCTGTACCTCTCGTTCCTTTATGACTTCCCTAAAGTGTTTCACAACATTGTCAGTGTAATAGTCACCAGCACGGCTTGCAATAGCTGGTGTGAGGGTGATTTTCATCCATAAAGGTTTGCACTTTCAGCCACATTGCACAGATTTCCTTAATCTTTGTAGTAGACAACTTCTTCAATTTCTCTCTCCCCTCCTCCGAACCAGTTTCCTCAGGTCTGGCCTCTTGCTGTTGAAGTTGATCTATCAGCTCATCAGTGGTTAGTTCTTCATTGTCCTCTCCACCAACTCTTCCACATCATCCCCACTAACCTCCAACCCCAAGGACTTCCCCATGTCACAATTGATTCCTCAACTGGCATACTCCTCTCAGGGTTAGCCTCAAATCCTTCAAAATCCCTTTTGTCTACACATTCTGGCCACAGTTTCTTCCAAGCAGAGTTCAAGGTCCTCTTAGTCACTCCCTCCCAAGCCTTACCTATAAGGTTTACACAATTGAGGATATTAAAGTGCTCTCTCCAAAACTCTCTTAGAGTCAGTTGAGTTTCTGAGGTCACTACAAAGCACCTTTCAAACAGAGCTTTTGTGTACAGTTTTTTGAAGTTTGCAATAACCTGCTGGTCCATGGGCTGCAGGAGAGGAGTGGTATTAGGAGGCAAAAAACTTCACCTTAATGAACTTCATGTCTCCATAAAGTCGCTCTGCCACGTCTGTAGGATGACAAGGGGCATTGTCTAACACCAGGAGGCACTTAAGGACTAATTTATTTTCAGTTAGGTAATCTTTCACATTGGGGCCAAATGCATGGTGTAACCAGTCATAGAAAAAGTCCCTAGTGACCCATGCCTTACTGTTTGCCCTCCACAGCACACACAAATTAGCCTTGAGGATATTCTTTTGTCTGAACGCTCTGGGAGTTTCTGAGTGATACACTAATAAAGGCTTCACTTTGCAATCACCAGTAGCATTGGAACACATCAACAGAGTAAGCCTGTCTTTCATAGGTTTATGTCCTGGGAGTGCCTTTTCCTCCTAGTAATGTAGGTCCTGCTTGGCATTTTTCTTCCAAAACAGGCCTGTTTCATCACAATTAAACACTTGTTCAGGTTTCAGTCCTTCACTTTCTATGTACTCCTTGAATTCCTGCACATATTTTTCAGCTGCTTTGTGGTCCGAACTGGACAGCCTCACCATGCCTTATCACACTATGTATGCCACTACGCTTCTTAAATCTCTCAAACCGACCTTTGCTGGCCTTAAATTCACTCACATCATCACTAGTTGCAGGCATTTTTTTAATTAAATCCTGATGCAACTTCCTAGCCTTTTCACTTATGATCACTTGAGAGATGCTATCTCCTGCTATCTGTTTTTCATTTATCCACACCAATAAGAGTCTCTCGAACATCTTCCATCACTTGCGATCTCTGTTTGAAAACACAGTTGAACCTTTGGCAAGAACAGCTTCCTTGATTGCCTTTTTGTTGCCCACAATAGTAGCGATGGTTGACTGGGGTTTATTATACAACCTGGCCAGCTCGGAGACACGCACTCCACTTTCATACTTATTAATGATCTCTTTCTTCATCTCTATAGTAATTCTCACCCTTATTCCTGTAGGGTTGGCACTAGAAGCTTTCTTGGGGCCCATGGTCACTTATTTTGCAGATAAAATCACCAAAAACACTGTAATAATACAAAATATTCCGATTGTATGCTTGGATGTTACCGCGGAGGCTGGCTGGTAAACAATGGCACCGGCGGAACATGTGAGGGTGGCTAAGGCCGCACATTAGACGGGTCTCGGACGAGCAGCGTTGAGCGGGTTTTTTAGCGGTATGCGAGGCAAAATCTTAGCGATAAAATGTATCGGTATGCGGATTTAACGTTATGTAAGGCCAACGGTATGCGGGGGTCCACTGTAACCCTATGATTGGCGAAATTTACGATTGCCGGGAACTACGAAAAGCGAGGGACCACTGTACTGTGTAAAATTTATTTTTTTATTTGCAGAGTTTTAACACTCCCAGAGGCTGTTCCAAAGATCCAGTTTGCTGCCTACAAGGCCCGCATTGATGCTCCTGGTATGGTTGATGACTTTCAGAAGCAGTATGAGGCCTTGCAGATTCCTTATCCAGCTGACACTGTATCAGGAAAGATAGCAGAAATTGAAAAGCAAGCTGTAAGTTTTTTTTTTTTTTTTTTTTTTTTTCAAACTTTTTATAAGTTATATTAAATGTAGCTGTTTGAATTTAAAATTATTTCAGGCAATACCCATTTTAAGGATATTCTGATATTCTGTTAATAAAAGCTTATAAGAAATAAAAAAATTAATTTTAATCTGAATTTGAATTTTTTAAGTTAATAATAAAGTATCATTTTTATTGTACGTACTGTGCCTGGTTGATAAGGCAAGCACTCGGAACTCATCAAAGGTTTATTTAAAGTATACGTATGTGAAGTACTGAAGCCATGTGAGAGAGTAATGAGTTATAATTAAGGTTCTCTATTGGGAAAACTTTTTCAAATACAGTTTAATTATTTCATTTCCTGAATTTGATCCTCTTTTACCTTAATTTTTGGCAGGCAGCAGAAACTGAAGTCTTTATTAAAGAAAGTGAAGCTCGTATTGTCAAACTGAAGGAAGAGCTCGTTCGATGGGAGAAGATGATTCCTTACGAGCAAATGACTATGGAGGAATTTGCGGAGCAGTTCCCAGATGATGTATGAATTTATTACGTATATATTTTGTTAGAGAGAGAGAGTAGATGTAGGTAATAGCTCTTAGCTTTTAAATTTAATGTAGGAACTCTTAACCTAACCTTGTAAAAACCCTTTTGTAAAAAAAAGAGAAAGGCAGATGAGAGGAAGGGAAAGATGAAAAGGAAGAGAGAGAAGAGAGAGAAAGAAAGAGAAGAGGGGGGGAAAGAGAGGGGTGGAAGGAAGTGCAGTAAAAGCTTTTATTGTGACAATTTACTCTATGTAGGTATTCATTACTGTCAAGAGTGCCTGTGTATCTATATTTTGTTTCTGTTTGAGATGGGAGTTTGCATGGCATAATATATAGAATTGGGTTCTTAAGATATTTAAAGAATTATTTTGCATGGGTAATCTTACTGCATTGTATTATTAATGCAATTAAAACTTAAGAGCTAAACCCACAAGGATCATTCACTGCTGCACTGTTGTATAGTATACAGAAACATTGATTATGAGTTGCTGTCCATTTCCTGTTTGTATTTATTAGGTACCATCTCATATTCCGGACTCTAAAAATGGTTTACTATTTTTCATGTGTACAGATCATTGATTATTCAACACTAGGTTAATTTGCTTTCAGCATTATCTGGCATTCTTGTTTGATTCAACATTTAAATGGATACTAAAAAAAACTTAACATTATTGTTTTTTTTTTTTTTTTTTTTTAGGCAATCAACCTGGAGAAACCAACGTTGTGGCCCCACACCCCTGAGGACCAGCCTGGATATGTGCCCAAGGAAGGTGCCGAGGCTTAATATTAATTGTTCACTTAGTGATTTGTGTTGAAATTTCTCGAGGAAAATGTTAAGTATGTTAACCAATTTCTTGTAATGAATGAACAGTCTAGTGTAAATATTTAGGTGTATGATATTTGTATCAGGAAAGAAAAATCAATAAATTATCCAGAAACTACTATACTTATGTCACCCCGAGATATTTGTATCTGAAGAATCAAACTACAGTATTACCTAAAATTTCCTAAATCCTTGGACAGGTAGCCCAAGGTACTTGGCTTTCAACAAGGCCTACTACTGTTTTTCTCAGGTACGTACTGTATAAATCCCAGTGGGTTGAGCACTACCTTTGAACATAATCCATTTAAGCAGTGTAAACCCTCTGGACCAAATCAGATTGAAAAGGTGGAGGAGGAAGTCTAGTACTGTACCGTATAATTCAAGTATTGAAGTGCACGAGTATGGATGTCGTCTGACCCAGCTAGTGTTGGTTGGCACTCAGACAGCATCGATGAAAGTTCTTGCAGCGTGAAGTGAATGCTGTATTATTATTATCCCTCAAGGAAGGTTCCTTGATGCTGGTGAGGGGCTCTTGATCTAGGGAATTGGATTTGTTCTCCAGTTCCCTGAATTAAACCCGAATACCTTCCACATCCCCCCACAGGTGCTGTGTAATCCTACAGGTTTAGCGCTTCCCCCTTTATTATTTGTACTATTACAATCATAACTAAGCACTAAACCCACAAGGGTCAGCAAATGCTGTAAGGTTCCTCAGTGTGGGACTCCTCTCAATGCCAGTAAGGAACTCTTAATCCTTAAACTGTCCAAACGTAGATCTACGTTCACTTGCGCTTTGATTGAACTCGATTACCTTCCATTTCCCAGGCATTACATGACCCGTGGGCTTGGTGCTTACCCCCTAAATATATTTGACATAAAATCTAGTTAGGTTGAATCCCTCTTGGGTTTGGATTGAAGGAGAGGGATAAATGTAGCCATTAAGAACTATAAACAAAGTGATGCCCAGTTGCTTTGGTAATTTTTATTGATGGGTTATGGTACATTTTCAACATGGTAGGGCAGGGTCTTTCAAGTACCTGCCTGCTAACTTTGCATTTTTCTAGACCATGTATTATAATCAAGGTAAGTGTTAAACTTGAAAGAGTTATACAGCATTGCAGAGGGATGTGTAAAAAGTAGGAATGTGCAAAGGGAAGGTATGAGGGTAGGGGAACATGCAAGAGTGAAATATAAATCAATGTTGGTGCATTAGGTTGTTAAAAAATAAACTCTACATCAGATGTGGGACTCAGTGTGTTGGAGTAGTGTAGGCATGGGAATTATTATCAAAAAGAGTAGGCATGGGAAGTGAATCCTGCAAGCCCACTGACAGACTGACAGTGCTCTCATGAGCAGTACCAGGCTTTTCTCCATGTGGTATCTATGAGCGAGTGTGTATCCGATACATAAGCAGGAGAGCATATTATACACAAATAACCCGCACATAAAAGACAGAAGCTTACGACGACGTTTCGGTCCGACTTGGACCATTGACAAAGTCACACTGTGACTTTGTCAATGGTCCAAGTCGGACCGAAACGTCGTCGTAAGCTTCTGTCTTTTATGTGCGGGTTATTTGTGTATCGTTCCAGTCACGGTATTGTGCCTTTTTGTTATTTATTTATTTAGGAGAGCATATTATTATAACTAAGCACTAAACCCACAAGTGGTAGGAAGATGATGGACAGATTCCTAGTATTATTACAATCAAAACCCCTCAAGGGAGGTTCCTTGATGCTGTCGAGGAGCTCTTGATTTAGAGAACTGGATCTGTATTCCAATTCCCTGAATTAAGCCTGAATGCCTTCCATCCCCCTCTCACAGGTGCTGTATAATCTCTACAGGTTTAGCACTCTCCCATAATAATAATAAAACTAAGAGCTAAACCCACAAGGGTCATATAGCGGCCAGAATCCCAAATGTGGTTGGCAGAAAACAATTTATTGTGGTCCAACTCAAACTGTTGTATTTGCCAACAGTTGGGAGTTGTTATATATCTGAAAAGGCCTGAGAAAAGAATACAGGTACTCCTCACTTGACCTACCTGTTTAATGACCACTCGGACTTATGACCAGCTCTCCGACCAGTATACTGTGTGTATTTTACTTTGTTTTTTAATGCCTAGTTCTATTTTTAATATACTAAAAATGTTATAAATGGTGCAGAGGTGACATTAAAACAATATCTAAAGATGGTTGACACAAATTTATACAGTATGCCTGAAATAACAGTAAGGGGCAGCTTCTCACTTAACGACCAATTTGCTTACCAACCCACTCTTAGGAACGGAACTTGATTAAGTGAGGAGTATCTGTATGTCTGGGGAATTGGGAGGTCATGGATAACTTTCAAAGTGGTTGAGTATACTGTTCATTGCCCTGAATATCAAAGTATGTATCCAGGGATCCAGCAAATAATGATTTCTTTATGCCCATTAGAAATGCGACAACTAAAGCTGTACATGAGGGATGACTGCACGTAGAGGTAGTAACATTTACAGTAGACACGTAAACATAATGAGCTTATCCATCAAATTCAATAAAACTTAACATGCATGCACTCTTGCTTGTTTCTTTTGATCCAAGGAATTAGATCTGTGCTTGCCTGTTTATTTTGATCCAAGGAATTAGACCTGTGCTCTCCATAGATCAAACCTCAATTGCCTCCCATTCCCTCACGTGCTGTATGATCCCTATGGGCTGAGTGCTCCCTCGTGAATATATGGATATTATTATTGTTACTCATAACCAAGCACTAAACCCGTAATACATGGATGTAGGGTCAAAGTTTGAGCTATTCTGAACTTGAATGGATGGTTGAAGGCGATATGTTAGTGGGATTTTTTCTTTAGGTCTTTAATAGTATGGGCAGTGGAGGAACAGCTGGAGTGAACTATGTATGCTGAGAGATATGGAAGTGATAGCTGGTGAAGTAGGAATGTCAGAGGTTAAGAACACTGTATGAGTTGGACACTGGAGTAACTGGCAGAGGTCTACCTGGAGGGTGTTACAAGGGTCAATGCCCCTACACCCCAGTCCATGACCAGGCCTTGCAGTGGATCAGAGCCTGATCAACCAGGCTGTTACTGCCAGCTACACACAATCTAATGTATGAGCCACAGCCCAGCTGGTCAGGTACTGACTTTAGGTATCTTCTCCAGCTCCCTCTTAAAGACAACCAGGGGTCTATTGGTAATCCCCCTTATGTATGCTGGGGGGCAGCTGAAGAGTCTTGGGCCCCTGACACATTGTGTTATCTCGGTACACTCGTGGCACTCCAGCTTTTCATTGGGGGGATGTTGCATCTCCTGCTGAGTCTTTTGCTTTTATAGGGACTGATTTGTATGTGCAGTTTTGGGATTTTTCAGGTGTAAATAATTACATACCTTCTTTGCTTGCATTCAAAGGAGTACAGGTCATCTTTGGTGCTGACGTTTCCGGACGACTCCTTCACAAACCATCTTTTCACCTTCACCTTTCACCAGAAATCGTCGGCATTAGCTGGATCACCTGTGGTGGCAAGGAATAAGCATTTTTTTTTTCTAAATCAGTGTTACAGGTTTTACAGGCTAAGAGTTCTTACCCTACTTAGCTCATTTCAAAGACCAGACCCATCTAAGGTATATGGTGGAACCTCGGTTTTGAAATTTAATTCGCACAGATGTCAGTATGACAACCAAAGCAATTTTTCCCATAAAGAATAATGTAAGTAGAATTAATCCATTCCAGACCCCAAATGACAATGTAATAATACAGTACAGTGGACCCCCGCATAGCGACTTTAATCCATGCAAGAGGGCTGATTGTTATGCGAAATGTTCGGTATGCGAATGAATTTTCCCCATAAGAAATAATGGAAATCAAATTAATCCGTGCAAGACACCCAAAAGTATGAAAAAAATTTTTTTACCACATGAAATATACATTTTCCTACACACAAAGAGAAGGATACATGCACAATAGTACAGTAGTACATACACAATATATATTGTGCATGTACTACTCTACTAAATGAAGAATAAATGACACTTACCTTTATTGAAGATGCAGCAATGACTGATGAGACAGTGTGTCCTGGGAGTGCCTTTTCCTCCTGAGTACTGTAGGTCCTGTTTGGTATTTTCTTTCAGAACATGCCTTATCACACTGTATGCCACTACGATTCTTAAATCTCTCAAACCAACCTTTGCTGGCTTTAAATTCACCAATATGAGCACTAGTTCCAGGCATTTTTCCCTGTTCACCTGGGTGTTTAGTCGCTGGTGTGGGTTGCATCCTGGGAGACAAGATTAAGGACCCCAATGGAAATAAGTTAGACAGTCTTCGATAACACTGACTTTTTTGGGTTATCCTGGGTGGCAAATCCTCTGGGGTTAATTGTTTCTTGGTATTCTCAATAAGCACACCAACAACGGTTGCTACAGCAGCAGCAGCAGCTGACGGTGGTACAGCAGCAACAGACGATGCTACAGCAGCAGCAGACGATGCTACAGCAGCAGCAGACGATGCTACAGCAGCAACAGACGATGCTACAGCAGCAGCAGATGATGCTACAGCAGCAGCAGACGATGCTACAGCAGCACAGACGATGCTACAGCAGAGCAGACATGCTTACAGCAGCAGCAGCAGCTGACGGTGGTACAACAGCAGCAGCAGCTGACAGTGCAGAGCAGCTGTACCACCAATAGTAGCGATGGTTGATTGGGGTTTATTATACAACCTGGCCAGCTCGGAGACACGCACTCCACTTTCATACTTATCAATGATCTTTTTCTTCATCTCTATAGTAATTCTCACCCTTATTGCTGTAGGGTTGGCAATAGAAGCTTTCTTGGGGCCCATGGTCACTTATTTTCCAAAAAAAATCACCAAAAACACTGTAATAATACGAAATGTTCCGATTGTATGCTTGAATGTTACCGCGGAGGCTGGCTGGTAAACAATGCCACCGGCAGAACATGTGAGCGTGGCTCAGGCCGCACATTGGACGCGTCTCGGACGAAGGGTGGTGAGCGGGTTTTTGGGCGGTATGCGAGGCAAAATTTTTGCGAAAACGAGCGGTATGCGGATTGTACGGTATGCAATGCGTGCGGTATGCGGGGGTCCACTGTATACAGTGG